CTGCACGCATGGCCGGAAGGGCTGCGTGGGTTGGGATCCAGGGTCGGCCGCAGCGGGGCGGGAGGCCAGGGCGGGAAGGCCGGTCTCTAGAACAGCCGAGCGTCCCGCGGTCCTCTTCGGACCGCCTTGGCCCCTCGCAGAAGGCCCCGTTCCTCGGCGGCGTCCTGGCCCTGGTCCTTCCTTCCTCCTGCTCCGGGGAGCGTGTGCCGAGCCCGATAGAACGACTTGGATCTTCGTCGTTATCGTCCTCGCCAAACGGCGCGCGTTAAGTGCGCTCCGAGCTGTGCTTTCCAGCGAAATCCTGAGCTGAGTTATTGCAGAAGCTTCCTGCAGACACTGGCCAAACCCCAATTCCTGTGGGTACTGAAGTGGCACTGTTAATTTACTTTTTCATTTCACCACATCAACTGATTCTGAGATTAAGAGCCCGATAGCTGTCGGCTTTTATGAGCCCGCGCCTCCCCTGGATACAGAAACCAGAGTCCACAGTAGACCTCAGGTTTAAAGACGATTCCTCAGTTTAAAGACAGGAGGAGGGAAAGGCATGATATGGTTGTCTCGCCCTGTCAGGGGGTGGAGGTTTTCCCAACCACCTTTGTCTCGGCTCCGAGAGCTCCTGTGTGAACAGAGACGGTTTGCAGACACTTCTAGAGCTCCTCTCCATAGGGGCGTCATCCACTGACCTACCTGCCTCCCTGCTGTCATTTCCACCCCAGCCCGGCAGGCTCAGTGCCTCAACCGCCCGGGACTCCCCCCCCTCCCCCATCAGTGAGCTCCGGGCTCCAAGGTCACCTGGCTCTTCTGTGAGCCAGTTCCCATCATCCTCAGTGCCTCCGTTGGGGCCTCCTCACCCCTCACTTGTCCTTCTGCCAGCCCCCTCCCTCTTTCCTTCCCAACCATGCCACACGCGGCTGACGGGGGGATGACACTTCCTCGATGGGGCCACATCTATTCCGCAGCGACCCACTGCGACCACCAGGATGGCCTGGACATTTTACCTGGACAGCTTCTGCTTTGGATGACATGTGTGGTCTGATAATTGTTTGCGAACTCGTCCTAGAAAAAGTGCTATGTGCTTCATTGCTGACTGTCACCTTCAGAGTCCTCCCCTTGGGAAGCTAGGCACCAACACCTTCGTGCCTAGTCCACCCGTCAAAGCAATTTTGGAAATCATTTTCTGACATGGCCATCAGAGCTGTCGTTGTATTGCCCTTGATGCCCTGAATGTCATCAGATGTCTTCCTTTCAATATTTCCTTGATCTTCAGGGGAAAGAAAAAAGTCATCGGGGGCCAGATTAGATGAGTAGGGAGGGTGCTCCAATATAGTTATTTATTTACTCGCTAAAAACTCCCTCACAGACACTGCTGTGTGAACTGGTGCATTGTCGTGATGCAAGAGCTCCTTTGGGACCATTTTTGCACACTTCTCATGCCAAGATTTTCAGTTAAGATTTTCCTGTTTCTCTATTGATGCTTATGTGGTCTGCTGTGCTTCTCACAGTCAGCCGAAGATTTTGATGCACAATTTGCCAAATTTTTGCAAGGTTTTTGTCAGTTCTGCTCCTTACTGGCTGTCCTGACCTCTCTCCCCTCAGAAAAACATTTAATCCATTTGTACACTGCCGTTTTCTTCATAGCATTATCCCTGTAAACTTAGACTAACAGGTCCCTGATTTCACTTTCACTCTTGCCAAGTTTAACAAAAAAATTAACGTTTGTTGCTCTAATTCAAGCTCCGACAGTCTCAGGATGACACACAAAAACGACACACAACAACAATAATGAATGCCACTCAGAAGGACACTGCCACACATCGACATGCACACAGCTATGAGACACTGATATACTGAGTCTATGAGACCTTACTGAGTCGTTTGTACAGTGCTGCCAACGTAAGTGCACGGTAGCGAGTTCATGAACTTAATTGTTCTACCTAATTGTAGCGAGTTCATGAACTTAATAGGTTTGGAGTTTTCCATTCGTTCGTTTGTGGTGTGTCCTGTCATGTCCAAGAGACTGAAGACTCTTTCTGGTCTTTTGTCCCTAAGGCAGTGTTTTCTCAAGCCCTGTCATGCACAAAACCCACCTGGTTTACACATCAGTAGTTCTGGGGTGGGGTCCAGATTCCTCATGTCACCCTGCTTCCCCAGCATCGCTGATGCTGCCAGCTGCAGATCACACCTTGAGAAGCAAGCCTCCATGGAGTTTTAAGAGTGGCTTGTACATGGTGGGAGGCGTCAGAGCCCTGTAGCTCCCAAGAACCTGACCAAGGGCTGGGCGTACAAATTCAGTAAGACGTGATGTCTGTTCACAGGTGTGCACAGTCTGGTGGTGACACACACAAAGATCAACAATAATGCCAGGCAGCACATACTGCCTCTTAATTTCTATGTGATGAATCAAAGCATTTTTGGAATAAAGCAGTGAAAAATAAACAGTTGTTGCTAGGCACGGTGGCTCAGGCCTGTAATCCCAACACTTTGGGAGGCCAAAGCAAGAGGACAGCTTAAGCCTAGAAGTTTGAGACCAACCTGGGCAACATAGCGAGACTTTGTCTCTATAGAAAAATTTAAAAATTAGCCAGGCGTGATGATGCACACCTGTAGCCCCAGCTGCATGAGCGGCTGAGGTGGAAGGATCGTCTAAGCTCAGGAGGTCGAGGTTATGGTGACCCATGATCGTGCCACTGCACTCCAGCCTGGGTGACAGAGTGAGACTCTGACTCAAAAACAAAACAAAATACCACTTGTTTAGTACACACCTAGTAGTTTGACATGATGCAGTTCAACCTACTTGCCAAAATTTTAGGCATCTCACATTCACCATGCAGTTTGAGGAAAGTGACCACGTAGCCAGACACTATCCTAGCCAGACACTATCCTAGACAGGAATGCTGAGATGGGTCCTGACCTCATGGAGCTCAAAACAGTAGGATTCATTCACTCTTTAATGTGTTTGGAAAATAACCGTTTTCAATAAAAAGAAAGAGCTAAGTGTTGGGGAAGAGAAAAAGGCATTGAGGTGGGTGGCACAGGTATACATATTTTTGCAGCGAAGCCTGGAGAAACCGAGGCAGTTTGTACCTGGGGGTTGAATATAGTCCCCTGGCAGAGCCCAGAAGCCAGCTGCTAACAACAGTGTGGGTGCTCAGCTCTCCCAGATGACCAAGATGAGATGTGTGTTCATAGCTCTGTTCCCTTCCTCCACCCCCCAATGATTGCTTGTAACCTTCTTGTGTTCCTCATTCTACGTGTCTATGGGCGTGCTTGTTAGACGTTTTGTAGCCAGAGAGCAGAAATCTCATTCAAACTAGCTTGAGAAAAAGGTGTTTTGTTGTCTGGCATAGCTGGGAAAGATCTGGAATAGTTCACAGAGGAGAGGCTACTTGCCAAACCTACTTGCCAACATTTTAGGCATCTCACTTTGGTCATGCGGTTTGGGAAAAGTGAACGCAGAGCCAGACACTCTCCTAACCAGGAATGCAGAGATGGGCCCTGACCTCATGGAGCTCAAAAGGGTAGGATTTATTCACTCTTTAATGTGTTTGGAGGCAGTTGCCCAGCCCTGGGGCAGTCAGTCCCCCCCTGATTTATTTCTGCTTATCTTTGCTTTTCCGTGTGTGCTGAGACCTTGAGCTTTTCTACCCCCAGACAAGTTTCTTCCATGCAGCCATGGAAAGTGGCCCCGGGCAGTCCTGGACTTGCATCCTGAGTCCATCTCCCTGGCTGTGAGCAGAATTCCCATGGACGCTGACCAGGCCTGAAGCACATAGAGAGACCTGCGATGGATGTCCTATCTGACCTTCACTGAATGACCATTTCCCTGGTTGGGCGGGGCGGGAAGGGATGAGGTGGGTCACCAGGCAGATAGACTCCGGGGTGTGCACTACTGC